AAAATCACAGTCTTTAAACACATTTGTGCATTGCAATACATTTTTGGAAGCGCAACGAGATCTAAAGTATAATTCCACCATAGCGCGAAGCATTTGAATTATCTGTTTTAAAAACTATATAAATAGAAAACGAGGGTTATAAAGCACATGACAACAAGCTGACGTAATCACCCAAACTTCGCTTACCTCAATGAGAGCTCTGTGCGCTGCATCGGATACATACAACAGCACGTCTGAGATCCCTGAGAGATCGGCTCGTTTTGAAAAAAGATCAGTGACGCCCATGGCCATAAGTGCTTCTTTGAGTTTGTAGTCGGTGTCGATTTTCATTTTTGGAATGGATATCTGGAAAGCTTATATGATCAATTATTCAAAGTCCTTTCCTACCGTCAAAAATTCAGGTTTGAGTTGTGTGAGCAGATTCGAAATTACAGCCCCATTCAACTGAGTTCTGAGCTCCTTCAGGCCAAATCTGGAACATTTTGAAATATAACCTCATTCACAAATTTGATCAGCAAGAGAGACACCTCTTTTTGGGCAAAAATATGTTCAACGCGTAAGATCTGTCTTTATAAGGTAATGACAACACCTCAACTTCTCTGTTTTCAGCAAACAATTGGTTTGTTTCAAATTGTTTCATGAACTCTGTCTGAAACAGATGTATACAGGCTAAAATTTAGATATGTGCTGTACTACCCGTTTCTTATCGTTCTCGGAACGGTGAAAGAAATCTTTTGTTGTCGATCTGCCACTGAACTTGTACAGCCAATCGGCTTTGAAATAGGCGGCGTTCACAACAAGCGAAATTGCGCCTGAACTTTAAAATCATATGTGTAACAAAAATGCATTTGTGAACACACCTTTCACTACATCCTTTGTTATGAAATTTTTGATTTTTCCTTCTGTGGTTGCGCTAACGAAGTCATCAATGACCTCAATGAGAATCGTGGTTTCTTCATATAAATTACGTCTCATTACCGGTACCTTAGCTGTGCTCTCTGGCTGTCCAAAGTCAAGAGCCTCTATTTTTGCTGTATATCCTTTCCTGATAGCGCTCGCATAATCGTTTTTTATTGGAAAAGTTTTGCTAGAAAATTTATCAAATTTTGTAGTATTGCTTTGTTTTTTTTTGTTTCGCCCTTTCTCTTCTTTTTTTGTTTCGACCTTTCCGGCGCATGTACAACCACGATTGACTATTGGGACTAGAAAATTCGATTCAGCAAGGTTAATGACATTCATCTAATATTTCCCTGACAAAATTCAAATTTTGATTGCAGCAAGAATTTATTGGCAAATAATTTTCTTCATTTACAGGAGCTCTGTTCTAACAATTCGGAAAGCGAAATCCAGACCTGAGTAGTTTCTTTTCAAAAGAGGACTATCAAAATGTTATTCACATACTAAAAGCGACCGAGT